TGGTCCTCCTACGACCACTACTGGTCCTCCTACTACCACCACTGGTCCTCCTACTACGACCACTGGTCCTACTACTACGACCACTGGTCCTCCTAATACAACCACTGGTGCTACTACTACAACCACTAGACCTCGTATGTTTATTGCTGATATATATGTTTCTTAACCCGATATGATATTTGATTTATATATATATATATATTTATAATGTGTTTTGAATTGTTTACATTAATTTTTTTATCAATTGATCAGAAATTTGATATGGGTTTTTTTGCTGTTGTTGTTGGTAATGATTTTTAAATTTGATTGTCTTTGTCTTCTCTTTTGTGCGTTCTTGCAGGGGTTTTTTTTTCTGTTTTTTAATATTTTTTTTCAATATAGTGTGTTTGTTGTCTGTCTTGCAATTGTTTGTTTTCTTTTTTTCCGAAATGGTTGTCGATTTATATGGAAAGATTATTGCCTTCTTGGATCACCACTAAATAGATTTTAAGAACACTCAATACTAAAAGGTGTTAATAGCACACAAATTAAAAAGTAACACACAAGAAAATGAAAACTGTTCCATTCAAATCGTTTCTGGTCTTTTTCAGAGGTCAACGAGTGCATCAGCAGCCCATGTGATAACGGAGGGACGTGTAGTGATCGAGAGGTTGGTTTTAATTGTCAATGTCATCAAGCTTTCTTTGGCAGCACATGTCAGCATAGTAAGTATCGATTATATTTTTAATAAGCATAATAGTACTACATCAATTGTATTCTTAATAAGAAAAAATCTCGGTAAACATTTTGGTAGCAAGACTGCCTCTCACTGCTGAGATGAATCAGTGAACCCTAACAAGAGTACCCTGGTCACACACGGCTTACCGCCTTATCTCTCCTGAGAAGAGTACCCTGTTCCCAGAGGTTTCTTGTTTCTTGTTTCTTGCTTGTTTTTCTCGTTTTTCGTTTTCCGAGTTATTTTCTGGGTCACAACAAATGTAATTTAGGCAATAGGTTTATTTCTTAGCTCAGCTATGATATCTTACTCTCGTAAAACAAGCGTTATCAATGTATTTCGAAATTGGGGACAAACTTATCTTCCTGGACCCACAATCGTGCGAGCATAGACGGTTGCTTGTTAGTCCTTTTATGTCTTCCAAGAATTTGTATTCTAGAATTTTTCTGCTTTGCATTTTTTATGTAACCATAGCATCGTACTACGACATTTTTCTAGAAATACTGACCCCTGGAAAAAAAAACAATCTGAAAGATGATCTATTCAGTTTTGTGTTATTTTTTCCTTTTCGAACATTTAACTTACTATGGGAAAAACTAAAACATTTTATTTCATTTACTTCTATATTAACTTAAGTTCTGAATTTTCGACAAAGAAATAATACTCAAGAGAATATCAAGTGATTTAAATTGCGGGGAAAGCGAGAAAAAGAAGATAGAAAAGAGGTTTCTTCTGCTCTATAAAAACTCGCTAAAAAAGTTATTTCCAAACGGAATGAATGACACAGACTTTCCCCTCTTTTTCTAGTCAATCCCTGCTTTTTTAATCCATGCGAAAACAACGCAAGATGTGAGCCAAATGTCAGCCGTCCAGAGGAGTACAATTGTGTCTGTCAGCCTGGTTACAGCGGAGATCGATGCGAACAAGGTATGTATGTAACCATGATGTGACTAGCAGATTTTCTTATACCACGATACTAAACCTAACCAAACTATTAAGTGACCTCTATAAGACTATATCAAAAAATAGCCAATTTTCTTTTCTGCCTCAGACCAGACGAGTCGCTAAATGACGGGGGGCTGAGGGCTCACTTTTTAGGAGATTGACATGTTATATTGTCTTAGTTTAAGTTACGTTATGAAGAAGAATAGAGCCCCCTAGCTTTGAAAAAATGCTTCTTCGCCCCCCCCTCTCTCTCTCCGGTGTTCTATAAAACTTAGTTACCTTTACGTAAAAGCTCTCAGCGAGGCACAGGTTACCAATTGTCATTTATTTCCTCAGACGCTTCCTTTATGAACAACATGTATCCATTTGGAACGGGTGCAGGCGATATGTTGATGCCGGAGGACTTTGTGTACAACTATAGATGTCTGGAGCTTGGTATCCCTGAACCAGGGCTGGAATTCTTTGGAAGAAAACATGAAACATTTTCGGTTAGTAATAGAATCAACTGATCTACAATTCAAAAAGGGAATACCTTAGCATTCTAGTTTGTGCAGTGCATTGTTGGACTGTTTTTGGGGACGAAATATACGCCATCTCGGAAACTTGTCCCCTAATAGTCCCACAATGCAATGCAATGCCAACTCGACCCAGTTTTCTCCCCAATCTCAGAACAGCTAATCATTACAGCTGTGAAGTGGGCTGGTCACAGGGAGCCACTCCTTAGTTAAGACGTTTCGAACTGAAAATTTATTCATTTATCTATTGTTTACTTCTGGTTTAGATTTGCAGGAATGGCATGATATCGTTCGATGGAACCTACTCTCGTTACTGGCCGCGCAAATTCGGTCTCCGCTTTTGGGATCGTTTTCTGCCAACTATAGCACCGTACTGGTCTTTAGTTGAACACCAACTCTTTGACTCAACGACAGTGTTTCAATTCGAGGGGACTGTTGTTGATGAAATAATGAACAACAGAAACAGACGTTCGGCTCATTCAGGGTAAGTACTTCAAACATACGGGAAGCTTGGGTAGCGCGAGTGAATGATGTCGCTTGCTCCCTTTCCTCTTACCATTGCGACCTGGCATCAATAGCGAAATTGGAGGTCGTATGTGAGTTGAGCTGTTTGGTCTTAGTTTCATCCGGGACATCGATAAAACAACTTCTACATTTTAATAGACTCCTTCCTTGAGACACCAAAAGATTTATTAGAGATCCATGTCAGTTCTAGTCGCTAGACGGGCGACACTCATGCAAATTTATTGTACTTTGATATTCAGAAAGAGATACAGCATGCGTATTGATCCTAAGAGACAGTCCAAGGTATATTACCAACTGTACAGCAGATGGAAATACACTAACGCTGCTGCAGCTGTGTTGAGCAAGTCTTCTGATGACGTCAAAAAGTACACCAAAAGCAGCTTGTACAACGATTTTAGAGCTAGCTTTGTCGCTGTGGTAACCTGGGTCAATGTTTATCCTAACCGCTTACGAAACTTTCCGTACTTCGGATTGGTAAGTTCTTACTTCTGAATTTTATTTATTTAAAGTATCCCTTTGGGTATCACATTGGCATAGGACAATTCAGATCTCCTTTATATTTTTTATCGAGACTTTGAAACAGCCTCTGGGCTGATCAAAATTACAGCTAATTCAAAGATCAAATTAGAATCCGAAACACCATTCTATCGAGAGTTGAGATATCTTACGAGTGAGCACAGCAAGTAAGATATTCTCAACACGATAAGATAGAATCCTTATCTCCAAGCGCCCATATAATATTCTGTTTAATATATAATTATCGATGAAATACAATTTGAATAGATTTTTACTAATTCATGCGATTCCTAAGGATTCTTACCAATAGTGTTATCTTCACATGTGAAATTAACTTTTTTAGGAATAGAAAAATAATAGATAATTCATTGATGATTATATATTATTAAAAACATTTAGTATCATTTATTTTGTTTATTTTTATATCGTCCCTTTATTATCATTAGAGCAATACTTTTCAAACGGTCATCATTACGGATGGAGTCTATACATTCATCATGTTTAATTATCCCAGTGGGGGAATACAGTGGGCCGCACCACTAGATAGGTAAGTTGGGTACTCATCATTCTCAATTCTCGACTTTCACGTCCCCATAATCCTTTGCATCTTTGGGGGGTAACCAGAGGGTAAAAACTCACTTATTTTGCCGAAGGCTGATCAGACAATGTTGAAAATAACTTGTTTGGTATCCAAAGATAAAATGAAGAAGTAAAACACAGAAAAAGATAGAAGCTTGAAGACATTTAAGGTAAATTTTAAAAAAATTTTCGTAAGTCAATACATTTTCTGGAAGACCAAAACTCTTCATGATCTGTAAACGCAAAAATAACTTGGAATAAACTGATAATCAGTATTGTACAGATAAAAGCAGGTATAGTATAAATTCAATTAAGAAACCTGTCAATTTGGGATACTTTTTTGATTGATTACCCCCCAAAAACGCAAGGCATTATGGGGTTGTGAAAGTCGAGAATAGGTTATTATACAATCATTTACTACGAGACGCCATTGCGCACTTTCTTTTGTCCAGTTAATTAGCACCTATTATCTTATTATTCAGTGCAAATACACTTAGGTTCAGTCTAAACACAAATCCCACGTGACGAATCTGATGCAAATGAATTTCAACGATTTGCATTATTTTTGGCACATGTGAAATTCGAAATTCAAAAACTAGGCCTCAAATATTGTTCTTGCTTGATTTTTTATTCGTTCCAAAATTCAATATCCATTCTTTCTGTTTAATTACTTTACAGCTCTCAGTCTTCTAGGGTTAACTATTGGTATCGTCAAAGTGGTTTACCTGTGGCGGGATGGAACTCTGGCACCGATGACAAAAACCGCTACTTCAACATCAAGCAGTAAGTGCAATTGTCTTTTTGGTCTCTGTCAAGAAACGAATGCCTCAGGACCAATACTATACTCAAAATCAATATTTTAGCGGCGTCTACGTTTCTTCGAAGATACCAAAAGGAGCGCGGGGCCGCCTGGGAAGGAGAACACGGATAACGTCAAAAAAATGCGCGTGCGTGCGAATTGTTTATCGATGAGTATAGGCCTTTTTACATAAATCTCACAATGCTTTATATTCCGCGCTTTAAAACGTCTTATTTATTTTAAAATTTCATTTCTTTTAATTCAAAACAATTAATTTGATGTCAAACATAGAAAATAATGCATTGTCTATACCCTACTTTATTGCAATTCTTTGTTTGCACGTTACGTCGTGACAGCCATGTTGGGGGTATTTAACAAAACATTTTCATTAGTCTCATTTGTTAATACCACCAACATGGCCGCCATTTCTTTGTCTTTTGACTCTCTTGGGAATTGCTGTACGTTACGTCATCGCCGCCATGTTGGTGGTATGTAACGAAACTGATTTCAAAAGAATCCTCTGTTAATACCCCCAACATGGCCACCATGACTTTGCCTTTTGTGTCTCCTCAATGCATTGAATGACTACAAATCATCAATTTCACAGTTTGCATCGAACCAAATATATACTAGGGGCTAAATAACCTAACATTTTATTAAGGTCTTCAACATTGGTCATGGCGCAGCTCAGTCGGTTGCCAGGAAACACCCAAGAAACCGGCCGATGGTTCTTCCAATTAGACAAGTCTAACATGGTGCGGAAAGCAGAGACAAAGTGCTACACCTGGTATCTACAGCAACCCACATCACCCGTTTCATTTCTGCCACCATGTCCATGTTGGAGGCGCCAAGCATTCTTCGACAGAAGATTCAGGTACGACAGAACACTCCATCGTGAATTCTCTGTATCATCTCGTGGGGTGTGCTACATATCGAGATGGAGATTCCAAAGAATGCCTTACAATATTATTGACGAGAACACCAACTTGAGAAGACCTGTTGACAGAAGATGGTCGGCACAGCGTTGTTGCTATGGCACTGACTTTTTGGACTTCCTATTAGAAGGCCCAGAGAGAGGTGGTCATGCACGGCAGCTATTTTCCCCTCCTATTCCAGGTTTCCTGAGCGATGAAGAGGCTTACAGCGCCTGTTGCGTGGAATCCGAACTCTGTCGTCTTTTCTACGAAAAAAGACCTTCTGACGATTGCAGATCCTACCGTCCACCAAGAAGGAGTATGTTGAATTCTTGTATAAATTTGATAGGTCTTATTCCTTTTGGATCAGTTTTAAGCTTGCGAATGAGTGTTTTTTTAATGATGTCGTCTGTCATTAAGTCTATTATAACATTCATTCGGCTGATTGAAACAAAGCAATAGAAACCTCTCTGGTTGATAGCACATGACGGGCAGTGTTTCCCATGATATTCATTTAGATGTTTGATACCATGCACATGACGGGCAATGTTTACCCATGAGATTCATTCAGCTGATTGATAAAAGCAATTAAATACTCTCTGGTTGATAGCAACATGACTCCTAGACAATGTTTGCTTGTCATTTTGGGCTGTTATTGTAACGAAAATCATAACTCAAAATTTCTTGTCATTTTTTCTTTCAGGATGGTTCTGGGGTGATCCTCACATTGTCACAATGGACAACAAGAACTACACTTTCAACGGTCTCGGCGAATACATTATGGCTGATGTTCAGAACGGGTTTTTTCAGCTGCAAGCCAGAACTGCAAAAGCATTAGGAGACATAGCAACGGTCTTTTCTGCAGCCGTTGCTCAGGAGCAGAGTACAAGTAAAATTGAAGCTCGATTGAAGAGTTCAGGAGGTAAAAGACTATGGTTGTATCAAAGGGGCCAAGAATATTTAGCCGATTGCCGAAGGCCTTTCCCACGAAGAGATCCGAGTGGATCGTACGGACTCTGTATAATTTATCATTTATTTATGCAAAACCTGGTCGCTTTAGCATTACAAGAACACTCCAACACACATTTTATCGTCATCATCATCACCATCATTATCATGTCATTATCATTATATCATAATCATCATCATTATCATCATCACTATTATCATTATTATTATAGTTATCATTATTATTATTATCTCTAAATATCTCTCTTATTATTATCATTATCTCTAAATAAAGAGTTAACGACGGCGCTGTCACGACACGGATTTGAGCTACATGCTTTCATAGTAACAAGAAGTTTGCCTTCTTAATTCTGTACTTTATTTTTCTTGTAGATGGTCTAGACTTTTTTATCGATGGCTTAGCATCCGATTACAGCAGCATTACGAATGGCTCCCAAGATATCGGGAATTTGTCCATCTCTCGCGACGAAAACGATGGATTAACAGCCACCTTCCCATCAGGCATCTCTGTCTCGTTCAGCGAAGTTAAAGGGATGATGGTAATCGTAATCGCGGCACCTGAATCGTTTAAGAACAAGACGAGAGGACTTCTTGGGGTCTGGAATGATGATTCTAATGATGACTTTACTCTTCCTAATGGCACGATTATTCCCGAGTCCTCTAGCGACAGAGACATCCATCATAAGTTTGGTCTTAAATGTATGTATCGATAAAACTGCAGGTTATCTAAACCTTTCCATCTGAATGAAACCAGAATTAAGCTCCTCATTTCGATTAGTTTTTTTCTTTCTTCTTTCTTTCTTTTTTCTTTCTTTCTTTCTTTCTTTCTTTCTTTCACTCATCCATCCTTCCTTCTTGTTAGTGTTTTTCTACATTTCATACCATTTTTCAACCACTTAAATATTTTTACTTTCTTTACCAGTTACGCTGAAAAACACATGCTAATATGACTATGACTTGAGCACAACAATGTCACGCTCTAACATTTTATTGCCTTGACAGTTTAAAAACTCTAACGTTCGGAAAAGACACTGAGTACTAGTAAATCTCATACTTCATTGATACCTTTTTGCCTTATATTATTAATAGGGCAAATCACTGCTAATCAGTCGTTATTTACCTACGCGGCTGGTCAAGGTGTAGACACGTTCAAGAACACTTCATACACACCCCTATTTGCTGATGAGCTCAAATTCAATGACTCGGCACTTGAAGCCAAAGCAAGAGAAATATGTGGTTCTAACCTGGCCTGTTTGTTTGATATTGCTGCTACGAAAGATCTCTCTGTTGGACAAGCCACCTTGAAGACATCCCAGAACCTTGTTAATGAGTCAAATCAACTTGGTGAGTGCATGTCAATGTGCGAAATAGATCTTATTCGTCTTGGTGCAATGTTTTTCATTACTGAACACGTGTCATCCCCTAGAGTATCATTTCTTGTGCATGAGAAGACATGTGAATATGGATGCAACTCAAACGAAGAATCCTATTCTCAAGAGAATGACACGTAGTCTGTAATAGGAAAACATTGCACAAAGACGAATAAGGTCAAATACTTGTCATAGGCTTTTGATGGATTCAACAATAAAAGTACATTGTGGTCTAGCTTGGGTGCAAACAACAASCCATAAGGCAATACCACAAAGCACCATGTTCGATATCTCAGAAAAAACCTACAAACAAGATTCCACAACAATGCACCCTTCTTAAAACTGTCTCGAAAGCGAGGCTAACATGGAAATACGAAAGAAAATGCCACAAATTCCATCAAGAAAAGTGTGATTTCTTTCGTATTTCCATGTTAGAAGAAGGTTCCATTTCAGACATGAATAACGGTTTATCCCTATACCTGGATCTATAATTCAAAACCAAATGGAAGTTTTAATCTTCAGGACATGATTATTTTTCAACGTTTCGAGTCATTTCACAGCTGATCTTGAGCTGACTGACCCTCGAGTTCGACTGTTTGATCGCCTTTTTCTTCTTTTATACTCATGGACTCAATACATGAATTTTTCTTGCAATTTCTTTCAGAAAATTTCCCTCCAACATTGGTGAATTCTAGCTCTACGATCATGCTGAAACTCGGAGAGACGAAGGAATTTGTCTTGGTTGCTAATGACACAAATGGAGATCCAATTGTTTTCCTGCCGCCATCTTTTCCTGGATTACAAACCTCCTTAGCGTCTGAAAACGCCTTGAATATCAAACTGAAATTATCCACTACAAATAAGGTATCTTTGCAATTACGGAAAAGACTATCTTGTTTTCTTTTCTTCGTTCATTGATTCTTGTCCATCATGTGTCCAAATAGACACAAAAGAAAACAACGGAATTAAGGAGTAACAACGTGTATTTGTTGAAGAAATAGGAAACGCGCGCGTGCGAGTGCTGTGTGCAGTTATAAAGCACGCTGGGGTTGGCAGAACACGAGAGAAGTGTTAGGAGAAGCACGACGACTAGCGGAGTGCTTCTCGACACTTCTCAAGTGTAATGCCAATCCCCAAGTGCTTTATATTTCCACACAGCACAGCGAGCAAAATTAAAATACAAATTACATTAACTGTTATTTTAGATAGGAATGACGCAACTGAAAGTGCGCGCCCCTGCTGTGTGCTCTCATAAAGCACGCGCTTCCAACCATTAAGAACGGAAGATTAATAACAGTTATTTTATAATTACTCTATAGTGTATCTTTCACCCTAAGACTAGATAAAACTTTTTAGTTTCTAACTAACTAAAATCACGAAGAATACAACGAAGAAAGCTACACACGAATCAAAAGTACTCCACTCAGTGCTGTTTTAAAAGTACTCAAAGAGGACCTTCTATGTCATTTTACTTATCATTTTTTCCTCTCTACAATCCTTAGGTTAATTTCACCATCGTGGTAAGGGACTCGAAAGGCGCATCAGTGATCTGGAACCCGACTCTAACATTATGCGCATGTGAAAATGGGGCAAACTGCTCTCAACCAAACAATCTCAACGGTGATAAGTTCCTAGTGATGTCATGCAAATGTGCAAGTGGTTACACTGGCAAGTTTTGTGAAAGCGACCTCAACGCCTGTGATTTCAATAGTGGACCTTGCTATCCTGGAGTTAACTGTACCGATCTTCCTCCCCCTAGCGGCGTGCAGGGCTATACATGCGGACCTTGTCCCGGGGGATACTCAGGCAATGGTGCCAATTGCACAGGTAGACGAGGCACTAGACTAAGGTCAAGCGTCGAACATGACGTGAGCCGAACCTAATGGCATCATAGAAGACCGCCTTGTTATCCATTGATTTAATTAGGTTCGGCCCATGTGAAGTTCGACGTTTGACGTGAGCCCAACGCAATTCTTAACCAGTTTTCGATAATCAAAGAATCACTATTTTATCCGTGCAATTTGTTATTTAGTTTTCCATTAAACTTTCTTATTGACATTCTTTTACCCAGATATCGATGAATGTCTCGATTCTATAACGTGTTCACAACTGTGCATAAATACTCCGGGCTCATACTTATGTCAGTGCAAGGATGGATACAAACTCAACACAGACGGGAAAAAATGTGATAGTAAGTCTTCATCTGTTACGTCATTACAAAATTATTCTAATTCTTCCTTGATTCTGTTAGAACCAATAACCACGTGGAATTAAAAAACTGAGTTATTCTACATTTTTGGTGTGAGAGTGTCGCCATGGCCGCCATCTTGCCTGAGGCCAAAATGATTACTTTTGTAATTTCAGTTTTTATCTATGGTTTTATTTTATTTTATTTATTTATTTATTTTTCAAGTTCAATCCTTTTTTCTCCTCCACGCCCTTAACCCCAAAGTCTTATGAGTTTCGCAAGCGAGAAGAGGAAGAATTACAAAACCTAAACGTAATGGTGCAATATTCAATTTTCTTCCTATTTTAGACATCGACGAATGTCAAAGACCAGGGACATGCATGCAAAGATGTACCGATACTGTTGGGAGTTATATCTGCACGTGTGACCCTGCCTTCAAGGTGGATCCAGCCGATCCAAGTAAATGTGTTCGTAAGTATCAAGAAATTGAATGGATGGATGAGAAATGAAATTTTAAAATGCGAGAAAGAGAAAAATTGATGAACTGACTAAATGATGGAAAATGATTTCTTCCAAACTAACATGTGTTTTTCCAAAAATCGGAGCCAGAATTACAACCTTACTATACTATTGTTGTTCCTGTGCATTCGTGGGCTTATCATGTCTACACTCTGAAAAAACAAACATCAAACGTACCACTGAAAAAAAACTTCCTCACCTTTTTGGTATTTTTCTTGATGTCCTTAGCAAAGTCTCCGTGTTCTCCAAGAGATAATGGCTGCCAGCATGTCTGTTACATGGAAAATAATCAAAAGAAATGCTCTTGTAACAAGGGATACAAACTACAGGATGACGGAAAGAGTTGCAAAGGTACTTTTTAAAGTTTTGACACATTCAACATCTAAATAAATATTGACATCATTAAGAATCGGCTTCATCATCATCATATCCAGCATGTGCACCATTGCCAACAGCAGCAACAACATCATCATCAGTACCATAATCATCATCATCATCACCATGATCACCAACATCATTATTATCATTAATATCATCTGATTACCATTACCACCATAATCTAGATCCCCATCATCATTAACATAATCTGATTACCATGACCATCATCGTGATTACAATCATCACCATCTTCATCACCACCACCCCCATCATCATTATCACCATTTTGATCATCATCATCTGATCATCATCACGATTATCCTCATCATCGCCATCATCAGTACCACCTTCTTCATCACCAACTTGATCACCAATAACATCTGATTATCATTACGATCATCATCTCATCATTATCATCATCATCATCATCACCATCTCGATCACCAATATTATCAGATCATCATCACGATCATCCTCATCATCGCCATCATCAGTACCATCTTCTTCATCACCAACTTGATCACCAATAACATCTGATTATCATTACGATCATCATCTCATCATTACCATCATCATCACCATCTCGATCACCAATATTATCAGATCATCACGATCATCCTCATCATCGCCATCATCAGTACTATCATCATCCTCCCCATCACCATTATCAGCACCATAAGCAGCAGGTACATCATCACCTTCTTAATCATCATCATCATCAATCATCGTTATTAATTTTTTTCATTTGCACCACTATCAATAAACCCCCTTTAGCAACACTAACACCCTTCTTTCTCCCATGAACAGACATCGATGAATGCCTGGAGAAACCTTGTAGTCAGAAATGTGACAACACTGACGGCGGATATAAGTGTATCTGCATACAGGGATATAATCTCAAAGGAGACAACTATACTTGTGAAGGTAAGGTGAAATGGAAAAATTCCATTTCATAATTTTTCTTACAATTTTTTCACGAGTTCTATCCCTTAATTAGCATAAATACACACAATTCAATAAATAGCATTTTGTGTGTTTTTTAGATATCAACGAATGTGCTCAAGGCAATTACAGCTGCAGTGACCCCTTCCAGCAATGTATCAATATCAACGGTGGATACAAGTGTGAATGTGAACAAGGTTCTTACTGGTCTGGTAGCTCTTGCAAAGGTAAAAACGGATTTCATCAGCACCTTATGAAATCTAGAACGAGGGTAAGGCCGTTTATCATGCGTCACCACGCTCATTCAAATGAGAAAATCATTTGTCCTGAACACATGTAAACTCTCGGCCTGAAGCGCTTGAATGTAAAGCCACGTGGGAAAACAATTCACTGTTTCTTGGCTGTCCGTGAGAAAGGTCAATAGACCTCTACACCTTGGGCGTAATGTTTCCCATTACAGACCACGTGTCATTCCCTAGTATAATTTCTTTGTTTCGCGGTTGTGCATAAGAAGACACATGGATACGACCCAAACAAAGATTCTTATTCCCAAGAGAACGACACGTAATCTGAAATGGGAAAACATTATGCCCAAGCTAGAGGTCTATTGAAAAGAAAGTTTCAGAATTGCATTTTAATGAGGAGAGAGATCTGAAAACTGGAGTTACTTCTCGTCCTCTTGATCGACGTGAATAGCGTGAAATTGATGAATATCCCGTGTTTATGGGAACACATCGACTTTCGTTATCCACACATTGAGGATCTCGTTCTACATTTCTAGTTACACAATGTCCGTATTAAAGGAAGAAAGCACGTTCTTAAATAGCAATCGCAATGAGCCGAACCTAAGAACATAAAAGAAGACCGCCTTATTATCCATTGTTTTAATTAGGTTTGGCTCATGTGAAGGTCGGCATTTGACCTGAACCAAAATCTGTCTAAATCTTGAGATTTAACTGAAATAGGAGCTGTTTAGCCTCCTTAACAAGAGTTCACTCCAGCCGAATAAAATGCATAGATATTAGAACAATTAATAATTAAAATAAGAACGCGCGCCCTTGAATGGCAATCGCAATAGGGCTAAGACTAAGATCAAGCGTATAACTTCGCATGAGCCGAACCTAATGGCATCGAAGAAGATCGCTTGTTATCCATTGTTTCAATTAGGTTCGGCTCATGTAAAGTTCCTTTTAATTTGAGCCTAACGCAATTCTTAACCAATCTTCGATACTCAAAGAATCACTATGTTTTCCTGAGCCTAAATCTACTTGAGATTTAAACAGGAGCTGTTTAGCCTCCTCCACAAGTGTTCACTCCAGCCGAATAAAATGCATAGATATTAGAGCAATTAATAATCAATATTGTCGCTCTTAGATATTGGAAACCAAACGGAAGTGGAGTCTGAAGCACCAACGCCACGAAATGCAAGCCTAGAAGAAGAGGACCAAAGTGTGGAGATTCGAGTCAAGGACATGCCAAAGAATAAGGTATGACAACTTTTGGTAATATTTTCAATGGAACCGGCCATTTGGCAATTCATGATTCCAACTCCCCTTAGTTACTGTTGCTATAGAGTTGCTATAGACCAAACAATGTATAACAGATTACACCAGATTCCTGCTTCCTATCATGGCTGCCATCACGTGATTGTAAGACTACGGTACGAGAGGGATGTCTGCAGCGTTGAGTTCGTTTTATTGATCCCTAACGTAGAATCTACTTACAAGTCGAGAGTTTCGATCTAGCTACACTAACAAAGGCAAAGCCAGGCTGACCAGAAGGGCTTTCATTAGTCGGCTTGGCTGTCAGTCGGGATACCTTACTCGGCCACTCCTTACTCACGTCTGTACCCCCCAGCACGAGTACAACCCGAACTACAACCTTAGCCTTGTTCGCAACTGAGTACTCAAATACATAGTATCAGCTAAAACAAATTAATTTCCACTGGGAAAACTGCTGCAATTGTGATTGCTTCGCTATTGTTGGAGTTGGAACTATAAATTCTCAGCGTGCAACAATCCGAACTAAAAAATAAGTTCTAATCGCTTCTAATTCTACATATGAATCTGGTATTGAAAGGCTAGATAGCAATGGTAGCGCTGTCATACCTTATTATGCAACATACTCTCCCTGTGTCATTGGTTCGACCACTATTAATTGCCATCGATCTAATTGCATTGCAGTGGAAAGCTTCAAGAGACAAAGCATTCAAGAAAACTGTGGCTTCATTAGTCTCTGCACACTGCAAGATAAATCGAGAAAAATGCGGACTTCCAAAGGCAACCCCAAAAAGAACAAGGTAATACTACATTATAATACACTTGTTTAGCCACTTTGTCTGAGGGAAATTGAGAAGACATCCGTAAAATTGGTAGATTCACTACATCCATAAAACGGGGGCGTTGTATATTATAATGAATTTTAATTGATTAAGCTTCTTACCTGTGTGATTGGATTGGTTGTGCGCTTAAAAAATTCATGATTGGTCCAGAGTGGAAAGCGAGTCACACTGAGAGTCACTGACAGGAGATGTTGCGCAGCATTCTATTACTGTATTGGATCAGGCTTGCGCTTAAAGTTCATGATTGTGCGCTTAAAGTTCATGAGTGGAAACCATTTGAGAGTCACTGACGTAAGATGTTGCGCAGCATTCTATTACTGTGATGGGTGGGGCATGCCTTAACTAAACTACTTATTATTAACATCCCATAGTACAAAACGACATAGAAGTGCGACTTTAAACAATATATCATTATTTTTCATTATTTCAATATTTAATAATTTTTCAAAGGCGTGCAGTTGAAGAAGATTTGTATGCTCAATACACTGAAAACCAAGTTCACCTGTTGCCTGGATATCCAAAACAAGATGGCGTAGATTTGATCATTGTATTCTATGTTCAAAACCCTCCTGGTGTCATTGGGGCTACTGTGGTGGTACCAGCTAATGTCATGGTAGAAATCCTCAACAATAACAAAGGAAAGGTCGAGGATTCTTTGGAGGGCAGAACAGTGGCTTACATAAGGTCCTATAAGCAAACCAAAGCTCCTGATGAGACCACAAAGACCTGGGTCTGGATTGTGGTTGGTGTCTGTTGTGGTGTATTCGTTATCTTGGTTATTGTCTTGCTTTTCATTCTTATGTAAGTTATGAGTATTCTTATGTATGTTTTAGGTATTTTTATGAAAGTTATAAGTCTATTCAGCTTTGGTGTACTGTTGTACCGGTTTTAGACCATGTGCAAAGCCCTATCCCTGAATCAAACTTTTAATATTGATTGATGGCTTAGAGTGAATAAGGGTACATAAGGATACATAGCCCCCCTATATTCAAGACCTTCCTAATCCCCTTGAGGACAACACCCTCACTATTTATCAGGTGTAGACACATTGTATTCCCTTAGGTGTGTATGATAAGGGAGGAAGGGAAGGAGCCAATGTAATAACTATCATTGGTTGAACGTATTATTTTTCAAAAAATAAAATGAAAAATTTCACCCTTTCTTTTACAGAAAAAAGAAACGCAGAAAGACCAGGAAAATAAGTGTAGCATCATATAAAACTTCAAGTTTTGGACTAACCAACATAGGTTTGGTTAAAGACCATGACAGAAATGGAACAGAAATCAAGACTGCTAGTAGTGAAGACATTGAAATGGAAAATCAAAATGGTAAATACAGCTTTTAAAACACATTAAAAGCCATATTCCCACTCATTAACCTCAGCTAATTTAAAAAGCATTCTAATAGTTTTCTCCTTACCAAATTGGTTAGTTCTTCTATCTGCTATTTTGGCTGAAATGAAGAAAAGATTTCTCATAAGTATCTTTTGCTAAATCAACCCACCATATCAGTTTGTCATTTCAAACACTTGGGAATGATTTTGAGATTCAGGCCTTTCTAAGATAATATCCCATTCAGAACTAAGGCACGGGGATTAAAAGATGTTTGTGTCAGTACTAAGACCAGAATTTACCATGTTCAATGCCTCCAAAAACCTCTCCATTAAAGTACACCAAGCAAAAAAAAATGGGGATATAAAATTGAGTAATCAATCTCTCCACCTCCCAGATCATATTTCTCATAATTCAATGAGGGCTAGTTTGTTACCAGTCACTTTTACAAAGAAATCAAAATTAATTACTTAATGAAAGACCTTACATCATGTTTAAAAAACTTTCTAAAGAAAAAAATCAAAAGTAGCTTTCCTTTTTTACTGACTACCCTTATTTACAGTTGCTTTGTCCCACAAGCTCGACAAATCAGCTAGTATCTCAGAATTTAGAACTCTGATTAATTCATTATAAATTGTTTTTAATGGTTTACTGTCCTTTGAAAATGAAAAAATATATATTATATACCAATCAACTGAGCACAGCATTTATCTATAATCATATCGTTTTTAAGAAAAACATTAATATACATTGCACTTATTATATTGCATTTTCATGGAAAACTTGAAATTTGAAGTCTATATCTGTAAGTTTCTGAAAACATGTCTGAATTTCAAAGAGATTTTGTTATTGTGAGTCTTAACTTTAAACAGTTGTGCAATGGTCAAATGTTCTCAATTTTACCAGAACAAATCAATAATTGCTCCTGCTTAAAGTAACATCCCACCGTTCAAAAAGGTGTTGTTGATCGACACAAAATATTATAACTTTCTGCTGGTCTTAATCGCTGCAAAACATTATCATAAAATGTATGCAATATTCTGAAACCAATTCCATATTTCAGTAAAACATTTCACCTATTGAACTGTAATGAATTGGTTCTACAGAATCAATTATCTATAAATTAATCTAATAAACACTATAAGTAAATAAAAAATGTCTAAGGTTTGTTTTTGTTTTTCTAATTTGTTATGGTCTTTTTGAATTTTCTTTTGATTGTCCTAACTCATTATCAATATCATTCTTATTTACATTCCTCCATTTATTCCTATTTTTATTCTCATACCTTTATTTCACAGTAATATCCTCATTTTCAGTCTCATTCGCAATCCCTTTCTTTTTTATACATATTCTAATTCTTTCTCATTCACGTTCTCATGTTATCCCTTTTTTCTCAGTGCTATTTTCAATCTCATTCCTACTTGCATCCTTATTCTTATTTTCTATATTTGAATTTGATCAATCTTAGACTTAGTCTGTATGAATACCTCTACTTCCAAGTACTTGGTTCAATTTATCTCAAGCTGCAGAGTTAGAAGGGGCTGAAGTACTTTAGCCAATGAGAGAGCTACAAGTCCTCTTGACTCCCCCTGCACACTTCATTTCCCTGGTATCTCCAAACAAGTGTAGCAACCCCCACCCCCCACTTCCAGTTTAATACCCTCCATTAACTGCGTATATATTCATCTGTGTGGTCAAGGAGACATGTCGAAAAAAATTATGTTAGAGTTAAATACTGAGAACCTAGGCCCAAGGGTTTTATTAGTCTCCTACACAGCCATTATTAGTGCCGTCACGCAACGCTCACTCCCCTAAGTAGGAGTGAGCGTTGCGTGACGACATAGAATAGGATATAAAGCAAAACAAAGGCATGAGCAAAAAAAATATTCTAGCGACTTGTTATGGATTTTTTCACTCGCTCGTTTTATGGAGGACATTATCTTTACCTTGAATTTAAAAAAAGGCGATTTTCACTCGATTTTAATTGAACCTTTTAGTTAGCTCCATATATGATTTACGTGTATATTATAAGCTTACATATTTATTTAGAATTTTCCCATAGTCTGTATAAATTTCATTTTCTTCCAATATCATGCATGTTTACTCGAGACTTAGGTCGTAAAGCTAATAAATAAATTAAATAAATAAACTAAAGTAACCTGAACTGAACTGAAAAGATTATGTCATTCACAAGAACTCTCTTCAAATCGGAGCTGCACTCGATCTACTGAAATAACGTAAGGATGATTTCTGGACTTTTTATGCCATAAATCACATGGAATGTATAATAAAGTGGTTAAAAAACAAAACTAATAAGGTTTCTCGTTGAAGGCGTAATGGTTTTAAGTCTTACCTGAACTTAAACATTGTGTTTTGAAGAGTTTCTGAAAACAGCTTCGTCCATCTTGTCATCATTCAAAATGTGCAAGCGCGGCGATGATGACGTCACTAAGGCGCGAAATTCCTCCCCTAGATCCCTAATCCCGATTAGTTTATCTACTACCCCTCCCCTTCACGTCCTCTTCCGGCTATTATTAATTTCGATAAATTCAACATCTTTAATTCAATCGATCGTAAAACTTTATTTAAGATAAGGTAGGTAAACACTTCTATTTACAACATATAGATACATTGATAATCCTGCTGTACATTTACTGGAAATGCTCAAAACGTGAATATTAGTAATATATCCTCACTGAAGCCATTATCACGTCGCAGTATGATTAAGTTATGGGGCGAGATCCGCGACGATGATGAGGCAAACAGCGAGAAATAGGGAAAACGAGAACACCACCGCCACCAGGCTTAGGGGTGGGTGGGTGGGGAAAAATTCGTACTTCGAAGGGTCAAACGACGTTATGCAATGAGTCATGTGTGTTGACTTAATTTATACTGCTTGGTGATAATTTATTCAGTGAGAATAGTAATATATCCTCACTGAAGCCATTATCACGTCGCAGTATGATTAAGTTATGGGGCGAGATCCGCTCCTTGTCCCCGACAATACAACGAGATGGTATATAGCCAAACTCCAGTCGTAGTAGTGCATAATAACTAATCCAGTAGTAATATATCAACCTTTAATCTTACTATGCTCAACCCCATATACCCAATACTCAAAAACCCACATCCAATACTCAAAACCCACCTCCAAAACTCAAAAACCACATCCAAACCCAAAAACCCACATCCAATACTCAAAACTTAAAGCATAAAGCATAAAGCCGGCTAATAATTCCACTATCCACTACTCAAATATCCTGTATAATCGGTGTGAAATAGGCGCTGGGACGTGTGACCAAAGGAACAAAGCCCAACGAAGTCCAAAGCAGTAAAAAGCAGGACCGAAACAAAACAAAATACCAAGAAACAAGTTTATACAGCACTCAGTAAATTATCAGGGTGAGAGACCGGGACGTCTGCCAATGCCTCCGCCCTGGACCAACAAAGGGTGGGGTTTCCTCGGTAATGCACCTCAAGGGGATCGCCCCTTCGGGGATTAGCTTTTGAGCAACGGGAAGTCTCGAAGCAAATGGGGAACCATTTACCTAGAACGCAACCAAAACCAAACAAGGGTGAGCGCGACTAGGTAACCCCGGAAACCCGACCCTCTGTTGCCCCCAGGCTCTGAACTAGGTCCGGAATTAGAGCACTGAGAAGGCCCCCCCCCAGGGCCAACGGAGGACGCGACAAGATAATCCCAGATGATGAACAGCGAGAAAGGGGAGAAAGAAATTTCAGGGTTTCAGGGAACCAGGAAACCAGGATTTCCAACAGCTCAACAGCTTCGTAACGGTCAAACAGCGACGCCGGCCTATTAAGGTGTCTCCTTAGTGCGACCGAGGCGTTCTCGCAGGACTCAACGACTTTTTCTCTTTCCAGAGCCTTAACCTTCTGCGGGCTGTAAGAATACGCAGAGAGGGATTAAGTCAGTACTCTTAAACTACGAGACAAACTTCCGGCCTAATTCTAAAAAACGCATTGTACAACCATGGCTTCCTAACCACGCGTGCCGAAAAGGGGGTTACGCTCCCGTGGCTCTCCGAGCCCTTTAACGTACTATAGTACAACACAAGTATTTGATACAAAACACCCTGCTCACGGCTCTCCAGGCAGCATTGGTTCTCCAGGCCAATCTAACTCAAAATATTACGCGACATACTCGCGGCTCTCCAGGCCGTTAGCTCTACTCA